ACAGTCTGGGAGAGGAGAGGGGGAAAAGAAAGATGGAGGAATTAATATGTAGTGTTAATTAACAGGAAGGCAGTCTCAGCATCACCATGACAAAGTTTGATCAGAGGAAGTAGCCTATATTCCCACAGTATTGTGTGCAGTGTTTATAATGACTGCTTGGTGTTGTTGCCTTTTTTGCAAACACCTGAAAACGGAGGATTCAATCGCAGTGTCGATTTGTGTTTGTTGTGAAATCTATAGGGTCAGGTTTGACTTTCATTCTCTCGCCCCGTGTCTTTTTTCCCCCCCTTACATTTGGCATGTAGAATTTTTAGCTATTGCTACAAGTATACCCCAGCGACTTAAGACTGCTTTTGTGCTCCAGGGTCACATTTGTAGTTTTCTGTTTCTCAGATATGCCATTTTTAAGATATACTCTTAAAAATAAATACAATTGCATGGAGGAACCGCTTTGGGTTTCCCAAAGAACCAAATATTAAAAAAAGAACCATTTTTGATTAGTGTAAAGAACATTTTAATAATCTAAAGAACGTTTTTCCACTATAAATTTCCATGGATGTCCTTCATGGAACAAACAAACAATAAATAAACAGAACCTTTATTTTTAAGAGTATTTATTTTGAGAATTGCATCTTATTCTCAACAATATCTAATTCTTTGATGCACCTGTGAGAAATCTGCATTGTAAGAAGGAGCCGATCGATCTCAGCAGGTGTTGTAGATCAGTTGGCCGATATTTTCTAGCCTCCCGATGGCTCGATGGCCATCTCTCCATATCAGAGTCGTGCAGACAATCAACAACTTCCTACATAAACACATGTGAATGCATGGGATGCAGACCAAATGGAAGGGCAAGAGAGGAAAGGGCCACCACGCAGTTTACATGTTACACAACAAGCAACGCGCCGGTCCCTCTCGGTTCAGGATGCGACGCGAATCCTCCTCATGTCAGGCGAAATGTGTTGAAGCGAAAGGCTGCCTTCCGTAGCTCTCTGAGCAGTCCTGTCTGCTGTGTGTTTGTTTCGATGCCGGTTTGCGAGCCCCCCGATTCTGGAGCACGGATTTGGCAGTCACAGCAAGTGATGACAGAGGCATTGGTGAGATCGCACCCGGAACCCCAGAGGACGCTACCGTTTCTGAGGAAGCAGAAGAAAGGAAGGCCTCTTCGACCGTCTCAGGCTTCGCTTCGAGCTTGTTCAAGCCATGCGGTTTGCTGCTTCTGTACACTCTTTAAAAATAAACCTTCCAAAATTAGGTTTTCGCAGTGATGCCATATAGAAGAACCAATTTTGGATGTCCAAAGAATCAACATCTTTTTCTTATTGTGAATAACATTTTATAATCTAAAAGTCTTTTGTGCAATTAAAAGGTTCCATGGATTTTCCCAGCCAACCAAAATACGTTATAAAAACGTTTTTCCATGAAGCTATAAAAACATTATTTCTGAATGTTCTATGAAGACAAAAACAAAAAATTTTTTGGTTCTGTGAACGTTAAGGGAACATTCTATTTTGCAAACATTATGGGAACGTTACTTTTGAATGTTCTATGAATGTTCTGAAGGAAATAGTAACAAAACTGATTTCAGAGAAGAAAAAAATGTTCGAGCTAATGTTTGGAAAACATTATTTAAGACAGTTTTCCAAGACATTTTGAATGTTCTATTAACATTCTGAAACAAATAGTAACAAAAACGGATTTCAGAAAAAAATATTTGCTCTAACGTTTTGAGAGCATCATTAAAGATTAAAGGTTATTTATGGACCCATAGTTAGTCGCTTGCGACACCAAGGTGATAGGTTCGATTCTCAGCAGGCCTAGCTGTGCTCGCTGATCAAATGTATGTATTGCTAGACGCACTGCGATCCATCCATCTCAGAAAAGATATTCTTTTTCATGCAAATTTATTTATAACACGGTTGCGAGCTGGGATTGTGACACCGCTGACCTTTCGGAAGCAATAATGAAATAGTGATGCACCGCGTAGCTCTGTTTCCTGTTGCATTCATATATGGCTTTTCCCTTTGCTTTCTAGGTGGTTAAAAGAGGAGAGAGATGCAATGCGCCGCAAGGGTTAAGGCAGCATGAGAGAATCCATTCTCGGCTTAATGACCTAGCCTAGCTGGGCGAGGACGGCAGGGAACACGCTCTTGACTTGTACCGAATTTGCCAATTAACACCTCTGATAACAGGCAGCCTCGGAACATCAGGCGCGTTGGGAGGAGAGGCTCACATGCACTTTGTTTTTCATTCTTGGCCTGCTTCCTATGGCTGGCATGCGTGCGTTTCAGCATCTTAAGGCCACCACAGTCATTCATATCGCGCCGAACGCAAAGAACGCCGCGATCAGAATAGCAAAGATGGCTTCGAGAAACATGTTTTGTCCCTACAGCTGGAGAGATTTTTGGCTCCGGCTGCATCGAAGATATTCTTCGACGACTTCTTTTTTTTCCCTTTCGTATTTCTCCGTTACTGATAGCGTTTGCTATTTTCACACTAGCCCATATGGCCGCTTGCAGCCTCAATTAGATCCACAACTCTGGTTTCCAAGACACTCTCGTCTCTCTCTCTCTCTCTCTCTCCTTTTCTCTCTCAGGCCTGGCTCCCTCTCCCTCTTCCTCTCTTTTGTTGCTCCTATTGAACAAATGAAGACTAACACACTGATATCGTCTTGATCACAAAGTTAATTATTCAGAAATCTAGATCTTGACTCTGGTCTCTTTGGTTGAAGCACCCACTCCTCTCCAGCCTATTATTTTCTCACATGTTTATCAGACGCCTAAACAACACCTTGGGCGGGTGTGAATTTTCAGGCCCCCAGTGAAATTCTCACCGGGCTCTGTCACTGTTTTTCCTCCGAGTCCATTTACAGGTAGGAGAGAGAGAGAGAGAGAGGGAGGCACCGCTGCCAGGTCCTAATGACTGGAAACCCATCTGAAACACCTTTCGGCCCGTGTGTCGCGCGCACGTCCTCACGTCAAGCTGGAGAAATTGAATAGCCTACGTACACGCGACTACGTGGTTTCGCGATTCATTAGCAGCTATTCTAACGGAATGCGATCATCAAAGGAAAGATACATAATTGATAGAGGTTCACACCGCAGCCAAAGGTGATGCAATCTGTCTAACAACGTTGGCAAATTTGTGCCTAGTACTACAGCTAGAAGCATAGCACTCCGAGGTGCGAGTTGCGTTTGGATGAGGAGCGCAGGCCGCGCGGTTAACACTTCTTTTAAACGGGGCGCGCGGCCCGCTCACCTCTGAGGTTGCGAGAGCGTAACTCTCCTCGTCCACGAGACGAGCAGAGAGAATGTGATCCGTGCTATGGAGGTCCACACACCCGCATTCATTTATTTATGCAGTGTGAAGAAACCATCTGGCCGTGGAGAAATTGAAAGTGGATGTAATCTGGCAGGCGAGTTTATGACTGACACCTCATGCGGTATTAGTGGGAGGACAAAATCATTAATGTTCCTCTGAACCGGCACAGGCCATTAAAAGACTGACTATCAGAAACCTTCGATTTCTTGAAAGTCTCCCAAACAATGATGATTCACATAGGCTACATTCACAAAATACTACAGACCAGGTCAAATTTACTCTCAGTGAGTCATAAATTGGACATTGGATTTTATGGCATTTTATTTTGATTCCCGGAGCTGCACTTTTTTGCCCCCCAAAAGACTCAGTTTTTACAATCATATTTCACTGGTTTTGCATAGAGTTTTGAAATGCTCTATCCTCCAATCTCAAACTGTTCAGATCAGACTGAAATCTAGTCTTCATAATACACTTTTGCATTTTGGAATGATACTATCTGTCCTACTTCTTCCTCCTTTACCTCACGAAGAATCACATGTGCTAATGTATTCACCTGTCTGATGTCAGTAACACGCAAAATGTTCAGGACGGCTCATTTTTGCAGTCTAGTTTCAGCAAATGCTCTTTTTCAGTGGTGAGTTTTAAGTTCTGAAAGTTACAGTTCTGGATTTACAAAAAGGCTTGGAATTTTTTCATTAGTGTGCTTTAGGGAAACACACATGTTGTGACACTTTTACATCAAAAGTGTTTTAAAGAACAAGTAAAAAGCAAATAATTGAGTTATTTGGTGTCTCTCAATAAAGCAATAATCGAGGCTGTGTTATTTTGTGACTGTAATCACGGTTGTTGTTTTCTACAATATAGCACAGCTTTCATATAGCATTTACTACAAAAAATATTAAAGACACAAATGGTCTTTTAGCCCTACATTGGATTTTATTCCGCAAATGAAGTGCCATTTTTCTGCTAGAAAATCTAGTAATAATCCTAAATCCTTTTTGAAAGAAACAGTCGATTTGTGCATATGCAAAAAATAAATTAATTTTTAAAAAAAATGAATGAATGAATACTGTTTTCTAAAATGGGTGGATCCTACATGGTAAGTTAATGCATCTAATATATTTTTAAAAATACATAGCAAAGTAAAGCAATTTGAGAAACAGATGCACTGATTATATAGACCGAATTCATTTGACTTTTTCCTTTTCTTAACGTCTTTTAATTTAGTGCACAACAAATTTGTTGCCTACTCTGCTCACACTCTCGTCTATCTAGGGATGAGCTAGTGCAATTCTCCGCTGGCTTTTCTGCGACAACAACCTGCAAAGTGTTCCCACAACCCTAATCTGCCCGTCAGGGACCCCACACCTCCTGAGCACCCACGGCTTCTGTTGTTTTCCTGCCAGTCCTGCCTTCGTTCTATTGTGTTTGCATCCCATAGGTCACGTCAAATTCATCACACAGTCATTGGCTGTGTACACAATAGAGCGAGTGCATGTGCAAGAGGATGGAAATGAGAGTTGTGGTCGTTTCACTACTCTTGCTGTTGTGGTGATGAACCGACTCCAGATATTAATGCCAAGTTTGGATTTAAAGCTGAGAAGCAGGTGTGAAAAGTACTGAGAAATCCATTATTTCACATCCGAAGTTCTTTTTAAGGACCTCTGATTTCTGTAAACCTAAATTAGCACTTTTCCGGTTCCTCTAACTGGTAGAGCATAAAGCTGGCAGTGCCAAGGTTGTGGGGTTGATTTGCAGGGAACAAAAATCTAGTATGAGTGACGAATGGAGCTCATGTGTAGTTCAGACAGACCACAGTGTGACAGATTGTAACTCCTCCCACTACAATTAAATAAGATATATAAGTTCATCCGTACTCACACTTTTCTCATGTATTTGTATAGCGCTTTTCACAATACACATAGTTGCAAAGCAGCTTCACAGAAAATTAAAGTTTCTACATTACATTTAGTAGTTTATCTCAGTCAAGGTGATGTCAATATGGCAGAAATGTACAGTAAAATCATGCAGCTAGTTAATGACATGTATTCAAACAGAAACGGTGAACACAATTAACAGCAATGATTATATGTTGCGATCATTTGGTAGTTTTGTATGTTGGTTCAGGGTTGTTGTCATCTGAAGTCCTCAGAGGGGTTGGCGTCATCTCTTCTCAGGTGTTCGGTCATCTCAGATCTTCGTAAGAGGCTGGATCCAGACTGAAGCTTGTGTAATCTCTAGTTTCTTCGGGATGCAGAAACAGAAAAAAAAAAAATAGCGTAGCTGCTGTTCAAACCATTTCAAGCAAAGAATGATAATGTGCATTTGATCAGATATAACCAGAGTACAAGGTTATGAGATATATAATAATGAGAAAGCTTGGCTGAAGAGATGTGTCTTTAATCTAGATTTAAACAGAGAGAGTGTGTCTGAACCCCGAACGTTATCAGGAAGGCTATTCCAGAATTAGGGAGCCAAATGCATAAAAGCTCTACCTCCTAGTAGACTTTGCAATCTTTGGTACTACCAAAAGTCCAGAGTTTTGCGACCTTAGGGAGCGTGATGGATTGTAGAAGACTGGTTAGGTGCGCAGGAGATAAACCATTTAGAGCCTTATAAGTAAGTAGCAATATTTTGTAACTGATACTGAACTTAATAGGTAGCCAGTGTAGAGATTGTAAAATTGGGGTACTTGCCTTAGTCTGTTGCACAGACATGTGCTTACCCTTCTCCATCCCCAGCTCCTCCTTATACAGGCACATGATCACTTAGCATCTTGTCCACGGAAATCATCTATCAGTTAATCGTTGCTTAATCTTGCCCAGTCTCATTTACAGACCTGTATCACTTCGGCATGGCATTTTCTATCTGTTGCACATTTTAAAAAATTCTGGTAATTGCGTTAGGCTTCGGGGGTTTCAAACCTCAGTGAGGTTTGTTTGTGGACAGCTCATAATCTGAACCCTTCAGAGCAAAGCTTGCCGCCAAAATAATGTCCAGGACCTCGACAATAATCTTAATCAAACAGAGTGGTCCTGACTGAAATATACTTAAAGGAATAGTTCACCTAAAAATGAAAATTTGATAAAAATGTACTCACCCACAGGCCATCCGAGATATAGATGAGTTTGTTTGTTTATTAGCTGTTTGAGTCCAAGTCCATCTCCTGTTGTCTCTCTCTTGTGGATTATTGTGATGTTTTTATCAGCTGTTTGGACTCTCATTCTGACGGCACCCATTCACTGCAGAGCATCCATTGGTGAGCAAGTGATGCAATGCTACATTTCTCCAAATCTGTTCTGATGAAGAAACAAACTCATCTACATCTTGGATGGCCTAAGGGGAGAGTGCATTTTCAGCAAATTTAAAATTTTTTCTGGTTAGGAGCAATGGTTATGTGCAAACTGAATTAGGTGAATTGAGTTAACTAGATGAAGAATTGCACTTTGAATTTGAATGTAAAGATTTAAAATGAACTGAAATTCAAAGAAATTCATATAACTAATAATAATACATTTTTACATTTTTTTGAATTATACAATTTTTAACTATAAAAAAAGAAGAAAAAACAACAACAACAAATAAAAAACAACTTCCTGTGTGTTGCAATTCAGTGTACACTGATGAAAGGGAGCGAATTCTTGAATTCTGAATTTTGCACAACCCTGAAACAAGATCAGTTATATGCATCGTGCATAATGAGCAAATTGTAATGCAATGCAAGTGTGGTCAGTTTTCTCTTTCAGATCAACTACTGTCATGGCGGAGCCACAGTCTTGCTAAACAGGTGTGTTAAAGTCACATTTTCTATAACAACTTATAATAATAATAATAATAACACATCTGGTTAAATGGCACAGACATTTAAAGGAAACTGTGCTTGTATTGTGTTGGCCAAATATTCACGTATGCATTTATGCACTTGTATGAAGTTTCTGATCTAATATGTCACATTGGATAAAAGCATCAACCAAATGGATACAGTATATAGTATATAACTATTCTATATATTAACATTTAATAATGTAGCATGCATTCTAGCAGCATTCAAGTGCAACTGGCATAAAATATATCAAAGCAAAAATAAACGTAATAGAGGTATTAAAATGTCTGTGCCTGCTTTATATTTTTAGGTTAGAATGATTGCAGATATCTGAACGGCACACAGACGCTGGACAGCTATCAAACACGGCTTATGTTAGAGCCATCCAGAAATCTCAGCTCCTCAGCCATGATGGCAGAAAGAGAGAGAGATGTGTGCTGGCAGCCTCTTCCATCTGCATTACTAAATCATACACTGTCTCTCTACAGGGACAAATAAAAACCTCAGTGCTGAATATTTCAGCAACGGCTTGGATTTCATCATGTGTAGGCCTGACAGTATTGATAGAGGAGCCAAAAAGATGCTAAACCTAAAGCCAATGACATGAGACTGGTTTAGTAGCCTCAGTATTAATAATGCAAGAGTAGTTTTTAATCATTCATTTATTTTTACCCTTGTGTGGCAGCACTGTATTTATATTTCTCAAATGCTCTGTAAACATTCAAATGTGGCAGTTAATTCAACCTGAATCGCTTAATGTACAGAATCCATTCAATCTTAATTTTTTAGATTGTCCATCTTAGAAATTATAAAGTTTACAAAAAAAAATAGACATATCTAAGAAATCTATGATTAAAGTTTGAAGATCTGCCATTGATTTCCCCCATTTGAAATGTTTTTTTGTTTTTGTTTTGCATACTAAATTTTGATTGGTTTTGACTTTCATTTAACCATGCAGTAACTACATTGTAAAACCTTTTTTTGAAGTTGTGAAAAGGTTGTGATTACATTTTGTAGCCTAGCTCATTAATATGACATATATTTCTTAACATTTTTGATCAATACATATTTTCACAGTGTTGCAGAAACATTTGCCGTTATCAAATTTTTTTTATCACATTCATCTTTAAAAGAGTTATCAATAACATAAAATGTCTAGTAATGAGAGAAATAGACAGAAATTGAGATTAAAGGAATAGTTTACCCAGAAATGAAAATTTGTAGATTTGTAGTTTGTTTCTTCATCAGAACAGATTTGGAGAAATGTAGCATTATTGCATCACTTGCTCACAAATGGATCCTCTGCAGTGAATGGGTGCCGTCAGAATGAGAGTCCAAACAGCTGATAAAAACATCACAATAATCCACAAGTAACCCACACCACTCCACTCCATCAGTTAACATCTTGAGAACTGGAAAGTTGCATGTTTGTAAGAAACAAATCCATCAATAAGATAACCGTAGCTTCCTGTATCCATAATATTGCATTCTCCATGCAGTGAAAAAGTAATCTTGTCTGAATCAGGAGACAAATATGAACAGATCAAGCACTGTTTACAAGCCAAAATAGTCCAAACCAGTTCTAAACAAATATGTCAGTGGATTTTGATGTGAGAGACAACAGGAGATTGACTTTTTCTCTGGAGGAAGCGTTATTATCACAAGACATTAACTGATGGACTGGAGTGGTGTGGATTACTTGAGGATGATTGTGATGTTTTTATCAGCTGTTTGGACTCTCATTCTGATGGCATCCATTCACTGTAGAAGATAACATAACATTAACAATTTTAATTTAAATTCCCTATTTGCAGTGCACTGAAGTTGAATCTCAGTATCAGAGCATCTCAGAGCAACATTCAGCACTGACATCTGCCAGACTCTGATCTCGCTGGGATGGAAAGCGTACGAGCTCTGGAGGTTATTGATCGATCTGTCTCTGAAGGCCCTGTCATGTCACCTCTGCGTTCTGGTGATAACTCGTTGTGGTGAGATTTGGCTCCTGTAAGATGAATGTTGTCTCTATGACATATATGTCACCTGAACCCCATGTCTGCTGCTGCAGGTGGCCTGAAGCCTGATTGCAAAGCCTTATGGTGAAATGCAAGTCTTTGAGGCTGTTTTCACACTTAGTTCCATTGCTTGGTCCGGACCGGAGTTCGATTCCACCCCAACCCAAGCAGGCCTCTTTTTACATTGTATTATTTGGGTCAATGTCACTTTTGCATCATCAACATACAAAGTACTATCATGAGTTTTGCCTATAAAATTGCATTTAAAAGGTCTGCACCAAAAGCTCTATTGTGAAAGCAGCTTGAAAAAAATGTTTGGATATGTGTTCTCTTTGTACATATATGCATGCATGTAGTATTTATGTGCTCTTTCTTACAACTGTTTAACCAGTAACTGTACTGTAAAAACGTAATGAAAGGGTTGTGATATTTTAATTCTGTAGCACAAATAGCAGAGTATGCCAAAGTCATGGGTGAACTGATAAAACTTATATCTTGCATGCAATGTAAGTTTCCTTAGATAAAAGTGTTGCAAATGCATAATGTAAATGTATGCAGACATGCTTGTATGAACTTGTACACCATCGATTATCTGTTTTTGCATGTCTAGCATGTGAGCATGTCTTTGGCAGTTAAGTGAGCGCATTCAAACTGTATATTGTTTGTATATTGTATATTTTTGTAGTTTTAGGTGTCCCATGCATGCAAATGCACACATGCATATCTGCGTACATTTACCTTTTATGCAATCGCAAGACACTTTTATCTAAAGCGACTTATATTGCTTTCAGTGTTTTGTCAGTTCATGCATTTCCTGGGAATCGAACCCATGAAAGTAGTCCAATGTGGTTATTTTGAACTTTAATCTTAAGTTTACAAAAAACAAAATCAATAGCACACCAAAGACTGAAATATGCATGCATTTAGTATTCATGTGATCACCTCAAATGTTAATGTGCGTGTGCACCATTGATTATTTAGCATGTTTAGCTTTGTCTTCGGCAAGTAACTGAACATACAGACTCCATTCAGACTTTATTTTGTGGATAATTTGTGCAGTCTATTTTGGTTTTTATAAACTTAAGGTTAAAGCAGTGTAAGTCACCTTAGATAAGTGTTGCAAATGCATAAATATAAATGTATGCAGACATGCATGTGGGCAATTGTTCTATATGTGCATATATGCATGCATATAGTATTCATGTGCTTGCTTCACGTTTATGCAAGTGCACCATCGATTATCTGCATTTTATCACATCTAGTGTGTTAGCATGTATGTGTGTGCTCATGCACGCACGCATAAGAACAGGAATAGAGCGAACTCTAATCTGTTCGAGCACCGCAACTGTTCAACTGTGCCCTTCAACAGTTGTCATTTGCTTCTTCAAATACCTTTGTCATCGAAGAGAGATTAAAAAATGCCTCAAATGAATGCGAACAAAGGCACAGCAGAGGAGCAACACAGTGCAAATTGCCTGATGATGAGGTGGCTAATCCCACTGCTAGTTTAATTGATACTTAAAGGCCTGCTATCCGCTCTGAAGTGCTGAGAGGCTACAAACCGCCTCGGCCAAGGTGTGGTAACAGGGTGAGTAACTGCAAGCGAGTTCTCTGTCAGCTAATGCTCTCTTGCCTTCCTCTGCAGTCTCAGCTCGCTCCTGTTTGCACTAGTGCATAAAAGAGCCGTTTTAATCACTGTCTATTGTTTTGGGCTTTCTTTTCGCAACCCTGTGATACCTCAGACCTTGTTTGTCCGCTTTATACCAGTTGTCTCAGACAGTGTCTTGTCATTCGGAGGGCGGTATGAGTCTAGGGTGTTGTTGTGTGTTGACAGGCAGAGCTGGGCAGTGTTACCTGTGGAAGTTTGCATGCACAAATGAGCAGAATGGTTTCGGACAGTGACATACATAGTCATTCTGGAAGCAATGCAGATGGTTCAAGGTAAGTTTTGTGGTTCTTCTGTCATGCTTAAAGGTGAAGTATGCAATGCCACTTGCAGCAGAAGTGCAAAATTTCAAGCAATCCACACATCTTCCAATGTTCGGAAGTCAGATTGCTCAAAAAAAAAAAAAAACTGCAATGCAAAATATTACCAATTTGACTGCACTGACACTATTGGATGAGATTTAAACTTGAACTGAATTGAGCTGAATGAAGACACAATTGTCTTCTTAAGAGCTGTTTTACAGCTGAATCGATTTGAAACATAATACATTTTGCAATATCGACACTGTTTTTGTTATTATACTAAACTGACTTGCTTTTATAGCTGAGGTGCTTATAGTTAAATCAAACTTATTTTATAAGGTTTGATTAGCTTTACACAGTTATTGAACCAAACTGAATCAACACTGAAGAGACTTGAGCTGAATTATGACACTATTGTCTTTTTTTAAAGCTGCTTTTAGAACAGAATTTGAGTTTGTCTCATATTTGAAGAAGTTTGCATCATTGGTTATGTTATTTTTCTTTGAAGCTGCTTTTAAACAATCTGTATTATATAAAGCGCTATACAAAATAAATGTCACTAGTGGTGCAATAAATGCAAGCTTGCTCAACCAACTGAAACTGTATTTATCTACATAAGGTGGACAAAATGCATCACCAGAGCACACTTTTGGCAGTAAAATAATCATCACAATGTCCTCATATGGCGTTCGGTCGCTGGAGCGGAAGTTGCATCCAATTTGACGAGTGTTTGTTTGAAGCGTGCAGTGAAGGTAAGTTTCTGAAATAAGCACTCGATTCTGTCTTCCCCTTCCCCCACTCTCTCAACTTCAAGAAGACTTTCTCCCACTAGAATTCTGGAATTATCATTAACCTTTCCTTTGATCCCCCTCCCTCCTCCTTGCCAGGCTGTATCTCCTGTTCTGTTTGGTTCCTGGCCCCATGTGCCACTTTCCTATTTCCTGGCTGTAGGCAGCAGGGAGTAGCTCTATTATCACCTCCACTGAGCTGTCTTTGAATGTGAGAGGCAATTCCATTTCACTTTGCC